TTGTACTAGATACTGACATTTGCATATTTTGTTGGGTACGTAAGCAAATTTATTAGCATAGCTAAGTTCAAGATCATGGCTTCCATGGAAAGAATTATTGAGAATATTTATTCTGGCTACTAAATTATGGTTTGTTTTATAACAAGTATCCTGCGGTACTTGAGGAATATAGTGATGCCGATTGGAACCACTGTCAGGTGATCCTCTCTTTACCCTCGGGTTTATTTTACCTTGGGTGTGTGCTATAGTTGGAAGTCTAAAAAATAGACTATAATTTGCTAATTCTACAATGGAAGTTGAGCTTATAGGTTAGCTTCAGCATGTGAGGAAGCGAATTTGGTTGAAGTTCGTTACATGAAATCTCTTTTTGGGAAAAATCAATTCCTTGCATGTGTTAATTTGTGGTAGTCAATGCTGCTATCTGGTAGAGTGAACAACTATTTTATTAATGGTAAATCCAGACCTATCGAAAGAAAACATAGGTAATATGAAGATCCTATTTGAGTTATCTGACATCATAATGTGAATTTTTGAAACTTTTGTGAATAATCTACGGATTCGTAACCAATGCCTTGGGAGATAGGATCTGGAATACATCGAGGTGGTAGTGCGCGTTTTGGAAGCCTATAAAATCATAAACTATGTATGAGGACACCCAACCTGGGGAACCAGAGATCCTGTAACAAGGTCAAAGAAAGAACGAATCATATGAGGTTATAAAAAAAAATGCACTACCTTAATATTTTAGTTGTCTATCCCTATATGTATGCATTTGTCCACTGTTAATGTTTTGGAGGTGGTTTTCATTACTTTTAATGAATGATTTTAAGCTCTTGTTGAGTGGGGTTTGTAAATTACAAAAATTATCCTTGACAGATTTCACCTTATGTGAGCATTGAAGTGGATCGTTTTTTATGAGAACAAGGCTTATTCTCAAAATCTTGTCATGAAAATTGATAGGCACAAGCCGTAATGTGTGACTATTAGAAGCCTCATGTCAACACATGGATCATTTATGTGTGAGAGTAATACTTTATTTCCGCCTGTTAAGTAGTTTATAGTTCAAGTCTAGGACCACTACTGACTCTGGAGTAGAGGTTGTTGTTTCACTAATAAAGGTTCAAATGCAGAGCACACCTTCATGATGGCATACGTCATCTATGCTTTTGTTTGTAATCCTCTATTCCTTATTGATTATAACATGAGTGGGGGGTTGATTGAACCATTTATATCTTTAATTATTTATTATTTGGTGACTTCTGTCTTATTCATGAATCTTTTTTTTTTTTGGTGACCTTTGTTTTGTTCATGAATGGGATTAATTGGAAGGGTCATAGTTTGGTGGCTGAGGTTAATATATTGGAGGTTTGGGACTCTCCATTTCTTCTAGTTTAATGTCAATTATTTTTTGGTAAATTTATAAAAGGTCCTAGTAAAGCCTATAAATTGTTTCCTTCTTACTTCTTTCTAGACTAACTATTTTTTACACTTGAGATATTACTAGCCAAAGAAGGGTGCTTTTTCTTGGTAGAGCTTTGGGTTCACCATCTTATACAGAGTTAGCTTGAACCCTACGACAAGTGGTCAGGCTGTTGTATCCTGGAGAGACAAGTCATAGTTTAGTGACTATTATATCGGTATTTGGGTTCTTCCTACCGTAGTGGGCTTGATCTCCTTAAAGAAAATAAGATATTTGTGCCTCAGCTTGATCTATTTGTATCTTATTTTCTTTGCATTATTTATCAATAAAATATAATTTTTCTGGTATTTTCACCAACAACATTCATTTTCTGTTGGCACCATAAGATATTCTTCTTCTTATTATTATTAGTAGTATTATTGTTCGACTGCTTGTTCTTCCACGTGTTCCGAATCGGAGGCTTCTAAACCAATCTGCCTTAGGTTTCTAAAATTAGGGAAGATAAGGGCTGTAAGATGCTCTTCGACTCTCGGAATTGGAATGTGGTCTGCCGCCGAAAACATTGCGTAAGTCGGCTCGTATCGCAAGAGAATGTGGGCCGCCCTTCACTACAAGAAATTGCACTTTTGGCAACTACTTTTGGCGATGACGTCAATTTTTCATCGCCAAAAGTATATTTTTGGCGACACAGTGATCAATTTCGTTGGTAAAAGTATACTTTTACCAATGCAATTTGCTACCGTTGCTAAAAAGCATAACATTCTTTTAGCGCCAAAATTTTTGGTTGGCGCTAAAATTTCAGAACTTTTAGCTACGACGCTTATGTTTTAGCAACACAATGAGCGTTGCTATTAGTGTGCATACTTTTGGCGACGACAAGTTGGCGTGGGCAAAGAGTTAATCATTTAGCGACGATAACACTATTCGTTGGTAAAAGTTTTGCTAGTGGAATGATGTGATATAGTGATTTGTATTTTTTATTACAATTTTTCAAAGAGTTTTAAATATTCTAATCACTGAATTGTGAAATTAAAATGATCATTGAATTAGATCACAAAATGAACCCATTAACCCCAAACACACTCTTAAGTTGAGATGACTAATTTGAGATAGTTTGAACTTTTTCAAAGAATATGGTTAGATTATCAATTTCAATATGTTTGGTTTTATTTTTAGAAACTAGTTTCAATTTTTTCCTCTAAAAAACTAAAAAAAATTAGGTGAAATAAAAAAATACTTATTATTTTTGTATATTTTTATCTTTTACGTCATAAATACTTTTTCAAATTTTAAAAATATAATTTTGAATTTGTATATTTTTATCTTTTACGTCATAAATACTTTTTAAAATTTTAAAAATATAATTTTGAATTTTATTGCTCTCAAATTATTTTTAATTTTTTTCAAAAAAACAAATCTAAAAATTGTTTTGAAATTATTATTATTATTTATTTTTTTTGGGGGGGGTGATCTGATTATCTGCAGTGGCAAATTCCCTCTTAAAATTCCCTCCTCTTTTTTTTTTTTCCCTCATCAAATCTCCCCTCATCAATCTGCACGATTTTACTATTGCACACCCTTATCTCAAAATTCGTAGTTATCTCTCCCTCACGATTTCACTCTTGATTGTAGGGTTTGTGCCGTTTGCTGCTGTTGTGTGAGACGATCGGTGCTTCAATGTGCCCCTACAAGTTTGTCCCTTTTTTGCTTTCACTACAACAAAACTGGATTTTTACGGCTTTACATTAACGACATACAATAAATGCAAGTTGTAATTTCTCACTTTTACGACTTGTTTTTTTTGTATGTCGTAAATAATTTTCCAATCATGACATGTTTATTGCGTAAGTCGTAAATACTAATAACAATGATTTTTTACAACTTGCAATGTTAGCCGTAAATAATAAAACTTTCTATGATGTGCATATGGCATGTCGTTAATACATCAATTATACACGATACATATACGCTAGTTGTTAAAAATATTACACTTTTCACGTCGTACAAAACAATTGCCGTTAAAATATTACACTTTTTACGACCCATAATTTATATGGTTAATGGAATGATCAAAAAAAAATAAGCGTCAAAATAAAATTTCTGGCGCCAATTACCAAATATATGTATATATAATTTTTTTTCCAAAATAACTCTTGATCTAGTTCCTCTAATCAGAAAGGAACATAGCAAGGGTTTCAATCTCTCTCTCTCTGATGATGAGGCTGAATCAATTGTTGAGGGTTACCAGGATCATCTCATCTCTTCTCTTCGGTTGTATCTGAAATCAAAGGTATCTATCGTTGTCTCGTTCTTCTCTTCTCTTATCTATTGCGTATCTGAGTTCGGTTGCTTCCTCAAGGTGTTCCATTCGAAGGAAGAATATAGAAAATTGTTCAAAGGAAGGTGGACAGGTGTCATAACCATAGTTCTCAACAATTCCAAGTTCGTAGTCACCTTCTAGAACCGTCCCGACGAGATCGAGTTTGGGTTTTCGGAGTTGTAAGTTCACCGGGAGTGGGTCAACGGCAAATGGGTCTAACCCGAAAAGCAGGTATGGATTTAGGGTCTTGCTTTCTAGTGTTTCGGGGGTTTATGATATGCCCTTTGATTTCGGCTAGTATATGATGCTAGGATTTGATTTCTAGGGTTTTTGACAGTGAGGAATTTGATGAAATATCTTGATTTCTAGGGTTTTTAACTGTGAGGAATTTGATCAAATCTAACGTTATTGTCAATGTTTGTTTAATTTTGTTTTATTATTAGTGATTTTGATTTGTTTGATTATATATATATATATATATACATTTGTGAATTTCCTTTCTTATTGGACATCATTAGTGTAAACTATCTTTTTCTTCTTCTTCTTTTGCAGATCGATATGGTACTTTAACTGGTTCTCGTAAGGGCGAGGTACTTATTTTTGCTGATTAATATGCTTTGGATTGCAATTCCAGGTTGTTTCCTTATTCATTGTGTGGAAAACATTGAATGTATGGGTTGATTTCTAGTCTCTCTAATTCATTCTCTTCTCCATTCTTTATGATTTCAGTGCAATATACAATGCAAATAAACTATTTTGGATTTTTCTTTAATGTGATTGCTCTAGCACACCACCTCAATAATGTCAACATACTACGTAACTAAACCCTTTTTGCAATATTCCCTTCTTTGCCTCTTTGTTGTATTTGTTTGAACTTGGTCGTGTGTCTATGTCACCTACCGAAGCCTATGCTTATTTTTCTTCCATTCTCTTGTTTCAAGAAAGTTTCAAGGCAAGAGTATTTGAAGAAAATGGAGCAAAAGAAACTGAAGGAGCTTAGGTATGATAGGATGTCACATCTTAGTTTTATATTCTTTATGTTTTAGTTTCTGTTCTACTTGTAGATGTGTTTATATAGACAGTGGTGATTGTAACTTGTAAAACTTTCATAAAAAAGATTTTGTCTTATGATTTTTTTTATCGGTTTTAATTTTGCATCCATGTCTTGGTAATTTCAGAGATGATATAGAAGACGAGCAGTATCTATTTGATGGTGTAAAATTGACTGAGGCAGAATATGGTGAACTAAGGTAATTAGATTGTGTTTTTGGATATACTTCTTCACATTCTCCACAATTAGTTGGACTTACTCTTGTTCTCATTGATGTCTTGGTTACAATGACATGTTATGAATAATTGATTTGTTTTATGGAAGTTGTCCCCTGTCCAGCCCCCCTTTTGAAATGAAACAAAGATATGTATAAGTAATTGCCTTTTTATGGATAAAAATGACTTCTTTCTTTGTTTTTGTTGTAAGTGAATCTGTGCTTGTGTTAAGGAATGACAATAATTTCTCCTAAAGTGAGTTTGTGCTGGCTTTTTGAATTTCTTGTGGTGATTAGATATGTCCTTGAATCCGTAAAGACAATATGTGCATCATTGGGAAATAAAAGGCATTTAATGACCAGTTTTTAGCACTCCAAGTTTTTGGTTGTTCCATTGTTGGTTAGGCTTTTGGCTCAGCGTAAGTATGTGATTTATTTGCCAATGCTGCTACTTATCTCCTTAATTAAATTTTCTTACTAGAGTCCTGGTTTGATTACTGCTATTATCCCTAGCAAGGTATATTTTATTGTGTGTGAAATTGCTATTTTATTGATCAATAATAAACTTATCATGGTTTTTACATTATGACATATATAAGAAAAGAAATATATGAGTTTGTTAGAAAGTTGTGACACGGGAGTTGAGTTGCTGCTGATTTTGTTGTTCTGTTTTCTTCCTTTCTTTTTCTAGTTGCTCTTAATTGGTTCCCATCGGAGAGGTGCAGTTGTAGCTGTTGTTTACTCACTGGTTTTGGTGCTTGTAAAGAGGTGCTACTACTGCTGTATTGTTGCCGCTACTGGTAAACTGCTGATGTATGGTTTGGTGCTGCTAAACTGTTTATTTTTCAATTGTTCCTTTTCTTCTAGTGTGCTGGGCCCTCCGTTACATAAATGCAATACGCATTGGCAGGCTATGAACTGGGGCAGTTGTGTGGACTGGTTATCTGGGCAATTCTCTGGTCATTCTTTGGCCACTAGTGCTAAGAAATTAATGCTTACTTGTACTATTTACTGTACCAAGCTCAACCTGGAAAGGCGCAAGCCATAGGCGGAAGGCGATGCAATGAATGCATGCAATCTACAATGCAATATCTACAAATATGCAATGGAATGGATGTTTACATTGGATATGGCACGCAAGCCAAACCAAATCTTGCCTAGGAAAGGCATGTACACATATGAGCCATGTGTAACACAAAAAAGGTGCCGCAACCCTCAACCAACATATCAGCGTGGAATCGACGCAATACACATGCAGAACTGTGTTTTAACATGAAAAGTAAGGGCACATACCGAACCAAGCTCAACCTGGAAAGACGCAAGCCATAGACGGAAGGCGATGCAATGAATGCATGCAATCTACAATGCAATATCTACAAATATGCAATGGAATGGATATGGATACAATGGATATGGCACGCAAGCCAAACCAAATCTCGCCTAGGAAAGGCATGTACACATACGAGCCATGTGTAACACAGAAAAGGTGCCGCAACCCTCAACCAACATATCAGCGTGGAATCGGCGCGATACACATGCAGAACTGTGTTTTAAAATGAAAAGTAAGGGCACATACCAGACCAAGCTCAACCTGGAAAGGCGCAAGCCAAAGGCGGAAGGTGATGCAATGAATGCATGCATGTACAAATATGCAATGGTATGGATGTATACAAAAATGCATGACAATGCAGTGCGATGCGACTACTGGGAAAAATGCAATGGATGCATGCAAGCTACAATGGAAATGCATGACAATGCACTTATGATTGTTTTTTTTTTGTTTTTTTTTGTTGAGATGCACATGATGCAAGTGCAACACGCGTGCCATACGGAATGTAAGGTGATACAAATGAGACACGCATGCCTCATAAGATGCGAAAATGATATGAAAAGATTTTGACAATTGGACTTATACGCTACGCGAAGCCGGTTTGTGTTCAAAACAATGCAATGTACTAATAAGTACAAGCGAGGTGCGCAAGATAGCGTGATAGAAATATAATGCACAAAACAGTGCGATGCGCAGGACAGCACGAATGATTTGAAATGCACAAGACAGTGCGATACGCTAAACAGCGCAAGTGAAATACAATGCACAAAACAGTGCGATGCGCAAAACAGTGCGATTGAAATACAATGCACAAAACAGTGCGACAATTCGAATTGCACAAAACAGTGCGACGGTTTGAAATGCACAAAACAGTGCGCCGGTTTGAAATGCACAAAACAGTGCGATTGATATGCGATATACATGGGGCAAATTTTGGACCTTGTAAAAGTCAAAAGGATACGAAAAGGATACACCTTGTATGAATTGGAGTGCCACGCATAGAAGACACGACCCGAGGTCAAAACGGAGGCCGGTTGAGCGTCGGAAATGCACTTTCTTGCACCTTCTTGAGCTATGAAGACCCAAAACTTCTCACATGGCCTAAACAAGGCTGTGGAAACACCACCGGCCGGGAGGGAAGGCCGCCGGCTGTCCACCGGCTGCAAAATAAATTCATCGGCACAAAAAAGTGCCGGCCGGCACAAAACATTGCCGACCGGCAAAAAGTTGCTGAATCGGGGTAGTTTTGACAATTCACCACAGGTGTTATAAAATAGGGTTCCCAAACCCTAGCGCCTCACTTCCCTACCGCCGAAAACTCTTGCCCTCTCTCTCTAGAGCGTTTTTGTCTCCCCGTTTCACCGTTTCTTCGCGTTCTACGCCCATTTCGTCGTCGGATTCGCGATTTTCTTCGCGTTTCGGACATTTTCAACCGATCACATTTTTGTTTCGGTGCCTCGTTTGGCGTTCCCGCCTTTTCGGGGTTTGTTCCCCTTGTTTTCCTCTTCATTTTCGTGCCTTTTCACATTCTGGCCTTTCCGGCCATTTCCGACCCTCTCGGGAGTTGACTTTTCGGTTGACTCTTCGCATTCCGGCCCGGTTTTCCTTTCTCCGGCGATTTTCTCATCATTTTTGATATGGCGGACGATATTCCACGTGGCGGGACTCCCCCGGACCATGAGATGGATCCCGGGGTCGAGCTCCTACCACTGAGCGAGCGCCCGTTCGACCCGGCGACCTACCGACTGGCGATCCATGTTCTGCCCCCCGACGGCCTGCGTCAGTTCCGGAGCTTCGAGAGGCACGTGGCGCCCGAGCTATTGCTGCGCGAGCCTACCTCCCACCTTTCATTTGGCACTTCCGAGGTAACTCTCTTTCTTCTGCTTTACTTTCCGCAATGTAGGATACAAAAACTGTCATAGCTAGTTGTATTCTTTAACTGCTGAAAACTGATATGCTGTAGACTGTAGTTGACTGTAGACATACATACAACTGATATCTGCTTGAGACTGACACATGCACACACACTGCACTAGCCCTGAATCACTCAAATTACACTACACTCACTGTATCTCACTGCATACACACTGGCACCCAGTATTTGTCTGAATCTGTTAAATTTGCACACATGCTATATCTGTTCTGAAACACCCAAACACGCTGACACATCACACGTTGTAGTTCACCGCAAGCACATCGGCACCCGGTATTTGCCTGAATCTATCAAACTTGCACACATGCTTTATCTGCTTTTCCAAAACTACATTTTGAATGTTGTCTTGCCATTGTTATTTTCGGTTTACAGGAGGGTTCCCATACCATCCGCGGGTATGGGAATACTGGCGCTCGGGAGTGGTACGGTGAGCTCCCTGATGCAGTCCGGCGCATCGTGGATCGAGCGGGTTTCGGCGCCTTCTGCCGAGGACTCTCCAGGCTCTCCACATGCAGACCTCTCCTCGCCGCTCTGGCGGAGAGGTGGTGGGACACCACGGATTCTTTTCACTTTTCCACTGCAGGGGACATGACGATGACCCCTTATGATTTCTCGATGCTCACTGGCATCGGGGTAGGGGGGGATCCGATCCCTTTTGACATCGACATGGATGAGTGGACCGCCGCTCAGGTCCATCTACTGGGGGAGGCCCCACCTCTTGCTCGCCCAAGTTTCATCCGATACTCCTGGTTTGAGGTGCAGTTTCGAGTCCAGCCCGTGTTGGAGGAGGAGGCGCAGATGACCCAGGAGGACGTGGAGAGGTATGCTCGCGGCTTCCTCATGTTCCTGTTCGGGACGAACATCTTCGCCGACTGGGCGAACACCGTGCCTCTCTGTCTTCTCAGCGCACTGGTGGACGTCCGGGACATTCTGCTCTATGATTGGGGTGGCACCGCTCTGGCCACCCTTTATGGATACATGAGCTCGGCTTCTCGCGGCAGCGGCCAGCTACTCGGAGGCTACTGGCGGGCTTGGGAGGTACACTTCTTCTCCGCTTTTCATTTATGTCCGATATTTTCTGTATTCTGTACACTGCACACACTGTAGTCTGCTCTATACTTGCTGTATACTGTACACACGGCACACACATATATTCTACTTTACACTGACTGCACACTGCTCACACTGTACACGGTTCACAATACACTGCACAACACACGACTCTGCCATTTCTGCTTTATTCTGCATCCTGCTTCATCTGATAAATGCACTGGTATTTATCTTGCAGTTTTGGGTTTACGCCTACTTCCCTAGGCTTGCCCCTGTACCTGTCGCGGAGACCCCTCTGGTCGTCCCCTTCTCACGGCGCTTCGACGGGAGATGCACCCGGCGGCCACGGGAGACATTCGGCTTCTTCCGCCGATACTTCGATACCATTACCCCTGCCAGGTATGTTTTACTTACAGTTCATTTAAGCTTCGCTTTTCCACTGTATATTTCTAAAACAGTAGATAACAAATTGTCTGTCACTTTCAGATCACATGGCGGCCGTGGGCTCCATTGCCGGCGGCGATGCGGGATCGGTTCGCTGGTGCGGAGGAGACCTCGCGTTTCCGGATCTTGCTTGAGGGCCCGATCTGTCGGGCTTGGTACCTGGGTGAGCGTTTCCTACGCCAGACCCTGGGGTTACCTGAGCAGATAGTCCCGGTTCACCCCCCTGCAGATATGAGGGAGACCGAGAGGCTCATCAGCGAGCAGATGGATGACTACACCATTGGCTGGGAGGAGGCTGGCTTTAGAGGCACCGGAGACTATCGGGAGTACGTGCAGACGTACCTGATGCGACCTCTGAGCGGCCGTCGAGCGGAGGAGGCCAGGCTTGTGGCATCGGCGGCTGGGGCCGGAGCGGGAGTTGGAGTAGGGGCTGCGAGGAGGGCCTGAGTCCGTGGCAGGGGCGGAGTGTAGGGAGGACGGGGAGCTGGCTGGCCTGCCCTGCCCGCTGTATTGACTTTCCAGGGGCAGGGTGGGTCGACCTATCAGATCCCCTTCGCCCCTCCACCGGCTGGTCACGAGCTCATCGGCGTCCCCGATTTACCTCTGGTATGTATTACTGCACTTCTGTACAACCATTTCATTTTCAGTCTATTTGATATTCCACAGAATATTAATGCATCTGACACTTTTGCAGGCTTCTTCTGGGTATACCCGTCAGTCGTTGGCGATGAATGCCTCGATGATGGGGATGCTCCAGCGGACATTTGATCTCCTAGCCCTCTACAGCATACCGGTATGTCCTTCTGACACTGGCCGTCCTCAAGACTTGGACGTCACCGTTTGAACACTCGGTGATCATCCATGTTTGTGTTCGTTTGGAGTTCCCGGAGGTCCCGGC